TCTTATGGGTTAATTCAAGCTCCTTGGCCTTGCGTGGGTTCCCCTCCCTCCCACCCTCATTCCATACCTCCTCCGGGTCTGGGAGGCTGGTATGGACGAGCTTTCCCACCCGACCCAGAATTTCTGGGTTATCAGTGTTGGGACAGAAACCCTCCTCCACATTTACGCCCCTATATTGTGGGACAAGGGGCTCCTTATCAGTATGTGGGCACCACAGAGAATAGGAACCAAGGGCCATTCACAGACTTGACTGGCCGCTCCCACCTACAAGGAAAAAGGGAAGAGCCCATATATGTCAACCTCCCTCCCAAGATGGACCTCGGGGGGCATTTCCAGGGCGCTAGGGACCCTACAGAGCCGAAACCTGAACTTCCTCACAAACAGCGCCCTGGTCAGCCACCTGGCCTTGGAAGACATGAAAGTTTTGGAGGGACTCAGCCCATGAAGCAAAATCAGAACCCCCAGCCACTACGCAGAGAGGGGTCCCTCAGTTATTTTCGCCCCCCTCCCCTTCCTCACTCGACCATGTGGGGCACACAGACTAAGTACTCTGATAACCGAGAGACCCCTATCATTACCTATGAGGCTCCTGGCGTAGCGGGGCAGAGGGTGGGCTTCTTGCCCCCACACTGCATGTTGTCAGAGGGAGGCACTCTATACGGGAACCTGGAACAAAGGGGGCCCCCACACAGATCCTCCACGCCGGCCGGGTTTTTGGGCTCCCCCTGGACTGTGCACACAGAAGGACAGACTCGAAGTTACTGTTGAAGTGTAAAATTCCTCGCGGTCGTGACATTGACCTCTTAACTGCCCCCTTTTTTTTGGGGGGGGGTTACGCTCCCATGACGTGACACTGTGCTCACCTGCGGTTTCTTGGTGGGTGGGCCCCGGGTTAAAATTTCTCATTGCTATGACAAAAAAATAGATTTTATTTGTTTTTCTTTTGAGTCTCTGAGGTCGGTGAGGTGTTTTTTTTAATCAAACTGTCCGATGTTTTGTATCAGTTTTATTCAATCGAAGCCCATTTAGAACAACGCTCGGCCTCGAATGCGTTAATCAGCCCCGCCCCCTCCATTCCCCCTCCAAGAACACCAACGCTTTTAGTGAATGACCCACCTCTGCGATAGCGGTGAGCAATCCAATTATCTCTGTGTGGATGACAAACGTGGAGGTAGGCCCAGCAATGCCACATAAACAAAATGTGTCTTTCTTGTGACTAATTGCACTCGACGATATTTTAATATCTCATTTTAACACTTTTTTTCCTTCCTTCTGCTATGCAGAACGCGACCGACCGATGACATCACGCATCGCAATAGGGTGTCATCGTGTAAATTGCCCATCAATACTTCTGGCACTTAACGAGCTGGTTCATTAAGCTAGCGTAAAGAGCCCCAAGACCCCCCGGGATCCAATGGGGGTGACAGTTCAGTGAAAGGTCGATCCTGATTGGTTACTGCACTTTGCACGTTGCTGTTTACCGTATTTATGAAACTCGCGGATCTCCAGGCACACGGCCCAGTGATTATTAGGCATGAGATTGGTTTGTGGTGATTGAGTTGTGCTGGAGTCATAGTATGCAAGCCATTCATTTTCAGGGGTCGATCGTTTAGATTGTCCGGCATGCTGGTTTTTGGAGGCAGATTGTTCACCTTTCTTCATGGAAAAAGGGAGTTTTCTGCTGACATTTGTAGTCCCTTCATACCAAATCATGGGCGACTGTGGCAGTGGCTCCCGGCCCCTGGGAATTTGTTCTGAGGTTCCTGAAATCTTAAAAATGTTTTAAAGGAGAACTACGGGGTCAGGGCTTTTCCCCATAGTTCTCCTCAGGGTAACGGGAGGACGCAAACCAGCGTCCTCCCGTCACCCTAGGCTCAGTATATAGGGAGCTACAGCTCGCGGTATACTGAGACCGTCACAGCCGGAACGGATCCCGACAATTCTGTCTGGATCCGCCCAGCTGCGTGAGTGACAGCTGGCTCTGCCTATCTAGAGGCAGAGCCAGCTGTACCCTCCCCCGTCCGTTCCGCCAGTCAGCGCTGGAGGATCGGAGTGGGGAGAATCCAGCCCCTCCCCTGTCACGGCTCTCTGCCGGAACAGGATCGAGAAGTGAGCGAGCGCCGGTATGTGTTCGCTCACTTCCCGATCTACTGAGCCGACCTGTGACAGTCTCATTGTCACAGGTCGGCTCAGATTATGAGGCTGAGTGAAAATCACTCGCCTCATAATTCTCCTTTTAAGGAGGCCTGTAATGGAAAAAACGTGTAAGCTGCCATTGCCGACCCGCTGAACTCTGGGGTTCTACCCACTGGCCCCTGTATCCTGTAGCGACACAGGGGCTAGCGGATGGAACCACCAAGCTCAGCGGGGTACGCAGGCATCCGACTCTCCTAAAAATGCTGCCTGGAACGTCAGCACTTTATGAGACATTGATCAGAACAAGCATGTAGTAAGTGAAGACAGGACTCTAGAGAATGACCAGCTTCGATCCGGCATTACTGCCTAGCAAATCCCTTTAAAAAAAAAAAAAAATGGGTCACCAATGGCTGACCCCCATAAAAGTTTCCCTTAAAGCTACTCTGCTGCTGCACATGCAAGAAATATACTTACCTGTCCATCAACCCGCATCGCCAAACTGCCGACATCTTCATCTGACACTTCCAGGGGTGTCGGATGACTGCGTACCCCCGCTGAGCTTGGTGGTCTAATTCGTTAGCCCCTTTGTCGTTATAGGATACAGGGGCCAGTGGGTGTCGGAGAAGCCCAGCAAGCAGTCCTAGAACTGGTACTGTGGGAGCCATTGCGCATGTGTGTGTGAGACAGTTGCGTGCTAGTAATGCTCATAATCATGCCCGCAGACGCTGATGTGCACGATTACGAGCATTACTAGCACGCAACCGTCTCACACGCGCATGCGCAATGGCTCTCACGGTACCAGTTCTATGAATGCTTGCTGGGCTTTTCTGACGGTGGGTAGAACCAGAGCTCAGCGGGGTACGCAGGCATCCTGAAAGTATGCACATGTGTATATTGATGCTTCTCTTTGCAAACTGGCGTTCTTTATTTTATTACATAGTGAAAGGGTCACTTTAAGAGAGCAGACAGCCACCTTTTAAGTGGACCTTTGCATTGCACTTTTAAAGCTTCAAGGAAAAGCAGGTAAAACCTGACAGAGGTCCAAACCCTTCCCAACTGTGCCCAAAACTAAACAAAAAAGATTTGCCTGGGGTTGCCCTTTAAAATTTACCTGCAAGGTCAGCTGTTACTTGGGATCAGGGGAAGATGGGGGGGGTGCAAGTTTCCCAGGCGAGTAGGTCACTATGATGTGGGCTCAGCACTGGAAAGAAGTTTGGGCTTGCCTGGTGACAACTGCTGTGATAGGTTCTCTTTATTTAAAGCAAGATGAAACCTGTTTGTTTTCCCTTTTGTTAGTTAACGAGTATTTCCAGTAAAACCGGAAAACCTTTTTTATTTTGGCCCCTCTCTGTGTAGACAAATGATGATAACCTCCCCGTCCTGCAATCTTCATTGACAGACCATGCTCACGTTGCCGCCTGCTGGTGACAGCTGGTATTGTCATGCATTGATAAAATACAATGGGCCTGTATGGGGAGCATTGTACTTTTAGGCCCCGTTCACATTGAGCGATTTATCGCGCGGTAATTCCCGCCATATCGCGGCAATTTACCGCGCGATATCGCTCTCCAATGCTTCTCAATGGGGCAAAGGGTCCTGCTGTCGCGGGTCGTGTGTCGCTACAGCAGGACCCTTTTTGGAGCGGTTTTAGCCGCTATTCAAGCTTGCTCAATGCAAGCATTTGCGCACTATCGCGCAAAATGCAAATTGCGCGACAAACGCGCAATTTGCGAACCGCTCAATGTGAACGGGGCCTTAAGGTCAAACGTCAGCATAAGTTCACACCAGAGCTCTGTAGCAATGCGGGTTGCCATGCAATTTGATCTCAATTCCATTTTTAAGGGCTTCCATTTGATTGGCTTGAACTGGACCTGAAGATTCAGCTTTACATTCTTTCACCATTTGTAATTATGTGAGAGCGCACTAGATTTCACAGCATGGCTGTCGGTACTAACTGGCATCCCGTCTGTGTTGCCGGATGCAAAAGTAATACAGTAAAGCTGGATGATCAAAGCTGGGACTTCAAAGTTTGTACGAGAAGGAGATGCCTCCACACTACTTCACAGTCCAATATAGATGTCAGTCTTTTATTGTATCTTATGTGGGTGTGTAAGGCGGATTCGTGGTCCGAGGTTGGTATGGGATGGGTTATCATTTCATTCCAGATTTGGAGATGGGGAATATTCAATGTTGGGCTGAAACCAACTAATCGATTAATTGATTATGAGAATAGTTGTCAACTATTCTCATTATCGATTAGTTGGGAGAGTGGGGGAGAGAGAGAGATCATAATCGTTAGCTGCAGACCTAATTCAATGGGAGGAATCTCCTTTTGGTTGCTCCACTCATGAGGACAATCGTCAAGTCTACAGGTCCTTCCAAAATGTAGCTTGACCACCAATGGCTGAGGAAGGTCAAAGTAATAGAAGACTTCCAGTTGTAAGAAATCTTTCATTTTATTTGGATGAATGTTCCAATTTAAAAAAAAAACACACTTCAGAAGTTTTGAGGACACACCCTTCCTTCTTCAGGGCTTTCGGATTTGGCTGGTAGGAATCCATTAACATGTTTGGGTTCGCCCCTTGGATCCTAGAGGCCAATGTAATTCCCCAACTTTACATATTTGGATGCTGTTAGGAATCCCAAAATTTGATTTGATAGAACATGCGTGTAAAATGCCCATGTACCTAGAGGGTTTGACAGCTTCGATCTGCCACCAATGCGTTTCAGGAGCTTTGAGGCCTCCCGCCCCTTCATGACTTTGAGATTGGTAGGTAGGAATCCAGTAACATATGTGGGTTTGCGCCTTGGATCCTGAAGGGCCAATGTTGTTCCTGAACTTGAAATGCTTCGTGGTGGTTAAGTATCCAATATTCCATTTGACAGAACATGCGTGTAAACGGCCAACACATTTAGGGTTTTTGAGGGCTTCAATCTGCCACCTATGTGTTTCAAGAGTCTTGAGGGCACAAGCTTCTTCGAGGCTTTTAGATTCGGCTGCTAGGAATCCATATGTGGGCTTGTACCTTGGATCCGAAAGGCCAATATTATTTCTGAACTTGAAACGCTTGGCTGTTAGTCCAAATGTAACTCGATAGAACATGTGTGTAAACGGCTAACGCATTTAGGGGGGTTTTGAGGGCTTGAATCTGTCAAAACAAGTGCAGAAATAATATTGGCACAAACCTGCACATTATGAGATTCCTACCAACCGAATCCAAGAGCCACGAAGAATGATGAGATTTGAGGGCACTCCCTTCTTCAAGGCTTTGAGATTGAGCTGCGACGAATCCATTAGCATATTTGGGTTTGCCCCCCTCGGATCTTAGAGGACAATGTAATTCCTGAACTTTAAATTCTTAAGCTGTTAGGGATCTAAAATATCATTTGATAAAGCATGTGCGTATACGGCCAACGCATTTAGAGGTTTTGAGGGCTTCAGTCTGTCAAAACAAATGCAGAAATATTAATGGTACGAAACCTACACATCGGGGGATTCCTACCAACCGAATCCCAGAGCCACGGAGAATGATGTTCCTTCAAGAGTTGTGAGGGCACGCCCTTCCCTTCTTCAGGGCTTTGAGATTCGGCTGGTAGGAATCCAGTAGCATACGTGGGTTTGCCCCTTGGATCGTAGAGGCCAATGTAATTC